CATCACAAACAGCTAAGAGGACAATAGAATGTGTCCCCTTATAATTATAATATTCCGAACCAGCATTGGGTGGGGCCTGTATGACAACATGCTTCCCGTCAATGGCACCTATTTAGAAACAGCTTTACAATAAATTAAACAAATGAACCTACCAATACAATGAGGAAAATTCCATAGTTGTTCGAACTCTTTGCTAATTTTCAACCAGTCTTCCTTAGATGTTGGTGCTGTTACATACATTGGTTGCAGTGCTGACCAAATTGCTTCACATGTCTCGTACACTATATTGCAAACACTGGCAGAACTAATTCTGAAGCTAAATGACAGTGAAGCCTATGGTAAAACATACATAGTAAGCTATGTTAACAAACAATGTCTACTATACTGACCTGTGATACACCTGCAGCTAAAAATCTGAGAGTGAGGGTTAATTTTTCTGCTGGACTGATGTTGGGTCGTATTGAACTTGTATAGTGTCTCCTCTTCAAAGATGGTGCAACCTCAACAATTTCATAGCATAATCAATAATAACAATAGATAATCATGATTTCTTACTTGTGATAGTAGAAAATCGAACTTTTCTCGGGACATTCTTAAATACCTGAAGTGGCTATCTGTGTCGGATAGCCTCATCTCTTGCAGCAAGTTGTTATACTCACCCTGCTCCACCCTTCTTCTGAATATAGGACGAACCCAAAACTTTTTGGGTCGCTTTCTTCTCCTCCGACGATGTACAATCGCAGAAACAAGGGCAATTGTCAGTTCATCTTCACTTGAGCTGGTGGTAGCCATGTTATGCAAGGTGTGGTTAAGATTTGCTAATAATAATTATTATTAATGTTTATTAATTTCCGCAACGTTGACAACTTTTGTAAATTCACCCAACGCTGACGTTCAAAACGCTCAATTCGTTCGGAACGCTGACGCATGCACATCGTCATATTGTAAATTCGGCTTCACTATCATCATTACATTCTTCTACTCTATCAATACATGACACATCAACAATCACTGCTACATAACAGATGCCATTTGCATCAACAGGGATTGCAATTGGACTATCTAATTGGCTATCGGAATTATCATTAGGATACAAATATGCTGATTCATGAAAATATGGCTCACTATTTTTTGTGACATTGTTCACAAAATCACTAAAGCTATTCAACTTCAATTTTCTAATGCTATTTGCTGCACGTATCAAAAAGCCTACTTTGT